GATCGTTTTAATGTGTATATGCTCGTATTATAAGGTTACGTGAGCTGTATGCATTTCTCCGTCGAAGTCAGCAGACAAAATCTATTACTCCGCTCTCTAGATTCGCATGCTTTCCGTCACTTGGTTCAGGTTGAACCAGCCTGAACAACATCATGACTCAACGTTCAGGCCCTCAGTTAAAAACATGAAAGGGGCTTGGTTTGATTTGCTGCAGTTTGGGTCAAACCAGTTGAAGCAAGGGTCGCTTGATGTAAACAGCATTGTACTCAAGAGACGTAAACCTAACACTTTTACACGTCTCCCCCTGTCTTTGATGCATACATCCCTTCTTGTTGCTTCCCCATTCACACTCTAATATGTCGTCCTTTCCAGTCCTTCAACCTCAAAAGCTTTGCACACTTCTTGTGCCCCTCTTTTCCTATTGTCATATCCCACCTCACATGGTTTGTCCTGTCCTCCTCATTCCTTGCTTTTCCTATTGGTCCTACCTACTTTCTCCCTCTCTCATGCTCTCTCCCATGCCCAGTAGACGGAATACAAGCCCTAGTGCAAGAAAACAACACTTTGCCTTCACTCTCCTAACCCATCTATCTCCTCCCATTTAACACACATCTCGAAATAATGTCCGTTGCGTTGCCCTTATGCCTCTGTCGCTGGTTTTCAAATTCCCGCTGCTGATGGGGTTGATCCTATCTGCTTCTCGTTATCATGCAAACCTAACCTCCCTGTATCTATCCGCCACATGCCCACTTATGTTCGTGTTTGCAGATACCTTTCTGCCAACCAACTTACTGGATCAATCCCTGCTGCAATTGGCAACATGACAGAGATTCAATTCTTGTAATTAGACACGAGCAAGTACCAAACATGAATGGGTTTGAGCCGAACCTGGTCAAACTGGCTGGTGCAACTCAACAACCACCTTGGTTTGGGTTGAACCAGCCTGAACAGCTCATGACTCAACACTCAAGCCGTCAGCTTGATACATGAAGGGGCTTGGTTCGATCTGCCGCAGTTTGGGTCAAAGCATTTAAAGCAAGGTTTTTCTGATGTATGTAAGCAGCAATGTATTCAAGAAACGTAGGCCCAACACTTTTACCCTTCTCCCTCTGTTTTTTTTCCATACGTCCTTTCTCGTTGCTTCCCCATTCGTACTCTAGTATGCCGTCCTTTCTAGTCCTTTAACCTCAGAACCTCTGCACACCTCTGGTGTCCCTCTTTTCCCATCGTCATATCACACCTCACATGATCTGTCCCGTCCCCTTCATTCCTTGCTTTTCCTATATCTACTATCTTGTTTCCCCCTCTCTCTCACTCCCCCCCCCCTCTCTCATGCTCTCTTCCATGCCCATTCTGTACAGTGAATACTTGCTCTGGTGCAAGAAAACAACACATTTCCTTTCACTCTCCTAACCCCATCTATCTCCTGCCATTCTGCACACACCTCGGGAACAATGCTGCCTTTTTTTTGCCTCTGTCTGCAAATTTGAGGTCCTTGTGTCTACCTACCGCATGGCCTTCATTTTAACCCGTGCAGAACCCTTTCTGGCAATCAGCTCACTGGCACAATCCCCACCGCAATCAGCAAACTTAAGAACCTAATTTCCCTGTAAGCCCCTTTGCTTGGCTGTTCTGCCCCTCCCTCCAACCTTTTCCACCCCATTTCACGCCCCACTTTGCAGTTTGCATATTTCTGCACATAGCTTGGGTAGTTTCGCATGCAACCTTAGTTGGGGTGCCCATCTAGGGTCAGTCAACCCTACGTATGGTTGGAAATTAACCTTTGGCCCAGATAGGCCCTCAAGGCTAGGTGTGAGAATTAGAAAACTCTTGAATCGCCTTGTCGATATTATCTGAACCTTGTCCTAGTCCTTCAACCTTAACTTATTGGTGGAGGGCAATAATGTCGAAGATCCCAACCAAACCCCTCCGTTTTCAATGAACTGCCCATGTCTGATGTAATTTATTCCCATCTCATCAATCCTTTAAACGCTGTCAATAGTTTTGGCTCACACCCCTACAAGATTCTAGAAGAATAACGTACGTATCCTGCGGAGATAACTACTACAACGAGAGCTAGGCTACGGGCTAGGCACAGGTGCTCATGTGATTTCTGCGTTCTCTGTTCCTTCGTCGTTTTCCTAGTGCTCACACTGCTTGCTAGTTCACAAGGCAATTTGGCAAGAGTTTCACTAGAGAAAGTTCAGAACAATGATACAATGAAGTTGGCATCACAAGACTACATCAGAGCAAACAGCCAAGTCGGCCAACTGCCAGCGCAGCTTGGTCGACCGCGTTCCAGCACGACTAGGTCGACCGCGCTCCAGCAGTGCAAGGTCGACGGCGTGCCAACGTCGCAGGTTGACGGCGTGCCAGCACTGCTCACGCAGAACAGCAGTGCACCCGCTTCGCAGGTGCGCACAGACGATTGGCGTGCAGAGTCCCGTCACCTGCACAGCGCACACACCACGTCAGCCTCGAGCTGACGACTACCTCTGATCCGGCATGACGACCTCGAGATACCACCACCGAGGTCGGGCTCGCCAACTTCGCCTGGGCGACCGTCGCACTCTTCCGCAGCACTTCGTCACCCAGGTAACCTGGTCGACCGGGCAACCACGTCGACCAGCAGCTCCCGTATGCGCCCGTCGACCTCCCAAGTCGACGGCCACCTCCATGTCGACCTCACCAGGTCGACCACGCCCCTGGTCGACCAGCTCTAGGTCGATGTCCCTTCTGGTCGACCAGCTCCACGTCGACCAGCGCGGTTGTCGGCCGACCACCCCCATCGGCCACCCGAAGTCAGCGTCACAAAGGTGACGCCCCGCTACTCGACGCCCAACTGCTCGGCGTCCTGAGTCGAGGTCGACGTCGGCCCCTCCTTCATCGACCACGTTCTCCGCAGGTCGACTCCCAAGTCGGCGCCCGTGCAGTGACCCCCGCGCAGGTCGACCTCCTCGTCGACCAACTCGTCCACTGCTGCAGGTCGACTGCTCCCCTCACAACCGACCACGAAGTCGGCTCCGCCCAAGCGAGGACGGGGCCAACACCCAACTCCTGTTGACATATCCCACGTGTATTTCTCCCTGGGCTTGCTTAGCCGTATCCCGTGTGCCTCCAAATGCACCCCCTATGCCAGTTTCCATGCTCCTTGTGCCTCCCTGCGCTTGTTTTGCTGGCTGGCTTTGCCGTCCCCCCTGCTCCTCCTAATTCCCATCTGCCTAGCTCTTCTGCGCCCTCTGCACCTGTTGGCACCCCTTTTGTCACAGAATATATGAATAAACGGAATAAATTTGTGAGGATTTTTAGCGAGGTGCACTAACTACATGAGTTGTGCTGTTTAATAATTCGCGTCGGCTGATTCGAATTGAATCCGGTGCGCGACATTTTCCCGTTTCCCAGAACGTCGTGTTTCTCTATCTACGGATCGTTCCTTATTGTATGCTAAGGTCGTGCATGGACAGACCAGTCACCTCACTGCCTCAATCCTCCCTGCAATTGAAGATCCCCACCTCGCAAGCCTGTAAAACCTTGCTGAACCGGCGGGTGTAGTCGACCCCACCCCACCCACTCTGGTTCTGGCCGAACCAGCATCAACAGTGCATGCTTTGATGTTCTGGTCCTCAATATTAGATCTGGGTAGGGTTGGGATACTGGTGAAACATCCAACCCACAAAAACTACGAGATCACCTTTTAATGCTCTATTCAGCTTCTTCTCCTGTCCTCTGTCATTTTCCTCCTCTTGATGCCAGTCCAAACCCGTGCTCACTCTCCATTGACCTCTCTTCTCCCCTATTCTCTCCTGCTATATTTAATTTCCACCCCGCTCTTTTTTGAGATTACACCTCCCTTTCTCTATCCCCTACCCCCTGCAGCGATCTCTCTCGCAACTACCTCACAGGTCCCCTCATAAAACTCTCGGGCATCAAAGCAGACCTCTCCAACAACTACCTGTCGGGTGTGATGCGACGTTCTGAAGCCAACTGCAGCATACACAACATCGTAGCCAACTGCTTCGCACAAGAAAAGGCCTGTGGTCAACTACAGCGGCCACCAGCGCAGTGTCTGGCTTTCTGTGGCGTCTCTCCAACCACTGCTGCCTGTGGTGGTCGTGGCGTGTGCTACCCAGACGGGCCCAGTTTGGTTCCAACGTGCCTGTGTGGTGCACGGTCCAAGCAGTTTGGATTACTCCGCTGCGTCCCATTCACAGGAGGTGAGCAGCAATTGTAGCATGCCTTACAGAGAAGGGTCTAAGGGCGTCGTAGTCTTGGTGCTCCTTAATGATGCACTTTCTAATCATTTCCTCGCTTTCTAGCTCGCACACATCTAGTTAAACCATGCTCTGCTGCACTTACCGCTTGCTACTCATACTTGCTGAGCATGCTGAATCACGGTGCCATCACCATAGACAAGGCACAAACCCATACCGTATTCCCCCGGATAAAAGACCCACCCCGAATTGTACACCCCCGGGTAGCTTATGCGGGGGGGGGTCTTATATTTGACCCCGTTGGTACTATACCCCCCCTTTTGGGGTGATCCTCTATAACACCCCCCTTTTCTTACGAAACCCTATTATAGCTGTTATCGAGTCAGATTTTTTACGGGAGGATATGACGAAAATCGCTCCCTGAATGAAATTTCGCGTGCACTTTCACTTCGAATCTACCGAGATTCCCTCCCTCCCACAATCTCGCTGTCGCCACGCTGGCGAATCTTCCGCTGCACGTGGCCCGAGAGGTGAAACTGACATTCTCGCCAAAACTCGAATTCTCGCCTCAACTTGTGATGTTATAACGACTATTGAAACACCCAAATTGTCTAATTAATTGTTTTCCTTACACTAAAAAGTGCCATATATAACCACCCGGGTATTATAAAATATTTTCCGTTGAGGAGACCCCCCCCACTTTTTCCCAGTGGTTATCATAATACCCCCGGGTCTTTTATCCGGGGGAATACGGTATCTACGGACGTCACTCCCATAGGGTTTGACCATATGATCCGGTTTGCACAACTTAACACATACACATTCCGATGCTCTCCTCCCACTCACTCCCATCCTTCCTCTGCCCCGTCCACCGCTGCCCTTCCCTCCCAACTCTCCAGCCACCTCAAGGGGAATTCTCCCACCATTCACGGTTCTCACCAAAGGCACACAGCGGGAAACAGTGGGGAAGTTTGCAGGAAAGCCTGTGACCCTATTCATCTACCCGCCTGGTGTGACCTCAAGATGTGGCTTGGAGTTGGCATTCACTGTCAACTTCACCTTCGCTCTCTTGCCCCACTCTGGTCGCGCCGGGCCCAGCGGCTTTGCGTTTGTGATTGCCGCAACGGCCAAGGCAGGGAAACCAGGAGGTGTGGGGTACAGCGGGATGGGAGCTCGGAGCATAGCCATTACTTTTGACATTAAAGAGAGTCACCAGCGCATGGGGCTGAACATGAATGGCAGAGGGGAACCCGTGGTGTCGAAGGTTTCACCATTCATGCTCACTGATGGCAATTCATACACGGCGTGGGTGGATTATGAGCCTGGGGATCCGGGCACCTTTCGAGTCTTCTTGGCGAGCTCGAACGAAAAGCCAGAGGAGCCGCTGCTGCTGCAGAAGGGTGTGTCGCTGTGTGCTGTGCTGCGGCCGCGGGTGAAGCAGCAGCGTGCCGCGTTCTCGTTTGGGTTTACGGCGTCTACTGCTTTCCAGCTGCATGGCATTCTATTCTCTGCTGTGCAAACAGGCAAGGCTATTCTGGGCAGGTGGGATGACGCTGACTGCCTTGATGATATATTCGGGGTGGTGGTGGTGGATGGTTGCTGGTAGTGATGGCAATGGTTTGTGATGAGAAATAGGCAGGAATAAGTATCCAATTTAGGGTATTTTCAATTTCATTCCTTGTTCATATGGGCCATTCGAAGAACGACGAGTCAACACGTGAGGTTTGGATTGTGCGGGATCTACTTCTATGGTCCAAGAAAGAAGTTCAAGCTCCAATTTCCTCTCGTACCCTTTCTTTTAATTTCCAAAATCTGGCATGAGCGCTGGATTGAACTGAACTTGAATCGTTCGGCCAAATCAACATGTTTGACTTGAACCGGTCCGGGTTCGATTCGACCATCCCTCTGGCTCAACTCAGTTCATTTCGAGCCGATTTTGGTTCAAGCCTTGGCTCATTTCTGATGAACAATACACTAAGTAATGGGTTTTCAATTGAGTCTTTGCTGGGCACTGATGATTGCGTCTCCTGCCATGGCGAGGCATTTATCGAGATGGTGGTTAGCGGTAGCTATTTAGCACGAAATTGCCTTTGCTACCCACTCTTGTGGTGGCTCTCTCCCTATCCAAGTCCCAAACCCCACTCTCTGGCTTCTGTGCTTATCTTTCGTCTTGTGTTTTCCTCAACAGGCGCCCCTTCATCCAAGGTCGTCCAGACCAAGGAGCAAGGTGAGCTACATGTCATGTGGCAACACAGAACCTTCTATATGTTCAGACATTTATTGTGCTCACATATCGTCCATAATTCCCCCACCACGTCGCCATCGGCCACTGTTAGTAAGCTACGTGCAAAACCACCAAGAAAAGCTTAGCTAGCTTTGATTGTGCATTCCGAAGGGGGGTGGTTGATTACATCACCAAGGTGCAGACAAACCATAGGGCCCTCGAGCAGCTGGAAAATGTCTTCCCCAAGCAAGGCAAGACTGTGGAGAGTCACTTTACACCGGGAGCTGAACTACGGTAGGAAGCACGGGTGGTACGAATGGTCGTAGTCTTTGCTTGTATTCTATCTACATCCGCATTCACGGGGAAAGTTGGGAAGATTTTCACTAGCAAAAGTTGGATACATTCATGCAAGAATGATACGCAACAATGACTACATCAGATGCAATAGCACACAGGCAGGTCGACCACCGCCGTAGCAAAGTCGGTGACCTGCCAGAACTGCAGGTTGGCACCGCGCCAGCGTTGCAGAAAGGCGGCCTGCCAACAGAGCAAGTCGGCGGCTTGCCAACACTGCACCAAGACGGCTTGCGAACACTGCAGTAAAGTGGCCTTCCAACGCTGCAACAACAGGTGACTGTAAGTGCATGTGTGCCGCAGGTGCTTGTAGATGTTGTTCACGTCGTGCATTGCCACGAATGTTGAGCGGGTGCCAAGTCGGCCACGTGCTGATGGTTGCGCCTGATGGGCCACATCGACCTTGGGATACCACCTCGCAGGTCGACTTCACCAAAATCAGCTAGCAACGTTCGCGCACCTCTGCAAAACTTCGTTGCCCTCGTTACACAATAGGCTGGGCAACGTCCCCGGCCTCGTCGGTCGGCGCCCACAAGTCGGCGCCCTCCAGTCGACGGCCTCCTTCATCGACCACCCATTTGAAGTCGGCCGTCGGCTTCCCGTCGTCGGCGGCGTCGCAGTGGTCTCCCGCAGGTCGACCAACTTTGTCGAACTGCTCCGCCCAGGTCGGCGTCGACCACTGCAGGCGGTCGGCTGCACCTCTTGCGCACCCGACCGTGAAGTCGGCTTCGCCCAAGCGATGGCGGGGCCAACTCCTGTCAACACATACCTTTTCCAAGAATCGAATTCACCATGCATTGTAAAGGCTCATCCGTAGTTTCAAGTCCTGCCTTCCCATTGGAGACTGTGTCTGGAATGTGTGTACCTTCACTCCGCCAAGTGGGTCACCAACAAGCGTCTTGCTCGCATCACCAGCAAACTTGGAGGTTTCAGCCGAGGTCATTGGGATTGCTTCTAACTCCCGTCTTATCCTTTTCAAATCATTTCTGATATGCTTGAGGAGGAGCCTTCTGCTGTGTAAAAAAAAACACACACACACACACACACACACACAAAAATCAATTTCTCACATGTCAAACTTCTTTGCAATCAATTGGAGCTTGCAAGGAATTGGGTTCAGTGATTGTGACATCATAGGTCCAGACCGTGCCATGCCTTTCAACCACTACCCATCCACATCTCCCTTCATCTCCACCCCTTCCCACCCTTCACAGCCCTTGGTCTCTCACTGTCAGAGGCCACATTTGCACCGACTCGAGCCAGTCCCTTTTCGCGCTATGTGAGTGCGGACTTCAAGCTGTCGGCCACCAGAGCGGACTCGTGGAGCATTCGTGACTTCCACACGTGGGACAATGTGCCCTTCCTCAACTGGCCTGTCAAGAACCAAAACGACTGCAGTGAGTGGAAAGATAATCGCAATATTTTCACTTCCGTGTGTTCACTGCAGTAAGTACAGTGACCAAAAAAATGCTGGAGATTCCATTCAAATTGTCAAGGTTTTGGATTGATCAGGTTAGAGAGGTTTGGGATGAGAAGTCTACACGTAATCAAGTCAAGGAACCGTATATACTGTAACTCAAAGCCTGCTTTTCTTCGTCACTCCAACCTGACTGATTGCTTTACCTTTCCTGCTCAGATGCGTGCTGGGCGTATGCGGTGGTGGCGAGTGTGGAGGCGGCATACGGCATTGCAAAGCAGCAGAGCGCTCCTCGGCTGTCAGTGGAGGGTCTCTTTGCGCTCATGGGTCTCACTGATTCAGACAAGTGCTTTGCTGGCGGCTCCCCCACCCAGGCTTTTGAGACGCTCACAGCTCTCGATGCCTCCAGTGGTCTCACAGGGGACAGTGACCTGGTAGGGTAAACAGAATGAGGACGTAGTATGTATCATGTGAGGTGGGATAACGACATCAAAGGTTTATGGATGTGGGATTTGTGGAGGGTAATTCACCTTGCCCGCTTGGATGCTCTTGGGCTTGAAACTTGAAGCCGAATCACCTCATCCAATCAGTCAGGAGAGTTTCTATACTTGGCCGAGTGATTGGTTGCTGATTCGTAAAACCACCATCTGCCATGGTGGAAATTATTCCGTGTGCCCTGCATCAGGAGGAGCCACGGTTGCACCACTCTCTAGTTTCACAACTTTGTCAAGCCCCCTCAAACTAACCCACTTCCCATCTTTTCCCATCCAACAATGCTGCCCCTCTCGTAGTCCCAGGCAACAACAGCACTATCAGCACCATTTGCACCACTCTCTAGTTTCATAACTCTGCCAAGCCCCCCCAAACTAATTTACTTCCCATCTTTTCCCATGCAATGCAACAATGCTGCCCTCTCGTCCAACAATGCTTCCCTCTCGTGGTCCCAGGCAACAACGTATCCGGTGCAGGCGTTTGAACGAGCGCAGTTCAAGGGGTATGTGGGGCTCATGCTGGCAGTGCAGCGACAGCCAGTGGTGGTTCACATTGAGGCGTCTCCAACCTTCATGCTGTATGATGGGGTGAGTCGCTGAAACTCTCACTCAGTATCATGCATTGGACACTGTGTTGTGCGGTCCTTGTGTTGAGAGTCATCGCCTATATGGCAGATACTCCTGGTGCTATTATGCTATGATTTTGGATCGTACAGACCAAGTACCATCACTTTGCAGTGCTTCCTCCTGTCACCCCTTCCACAGCTTCTTCATACCCATAGGACTCTGTTTCTTGAACTCCTCATCTATGTTTGTTGTCGCCCCATATCGATTCAGACATTCAAGTACCAGGATCCTGGTTGCTACACGGGCAATCTCAACCACGTTGTACTCGTTATTGGCTACTTCATTACAAGAAACGATGGCAGCCAGAACCGCTTTGCTCCTCCGTTTTGGATCATCCGCAACTCGTGGGGAGAAGAGTGGGGCAAGAGAGGGCACATGCGCATGGACATTCAGGGAGGGGATGGCGTGTGTGGCATTAACATGCTACCTGGCATCTACCCTATCGTCAAGAGTAAGTCATATCTACTCGGTCATATCCACCTCATCACCAAGCAAGGGTGGCATATTACAAAGCACGCAAGGGGTTCTTAAGTGGCCCTGTTTCACTCTGCAAGCAAGCCGAAAATCTGACTTTTCTTCCACTAGTGGGTGGTCGGTCATGGCATCATACCTGTTACATGTGCACTGAATGGCGCTGCTCCACTGTGGGTACTTGTTGGCTGTTCGTTAGCTGGCGACCGCCAACCTCCATTCTCATGTTCCTCAAGTGTGTCCTCTTTGACACCTCCCAGTTCCAGGCGACCCCTGCGGCCAGAGCAGCTACAAGGGCGATGGGGATTCGCAGGCCAGCATGAACCCGTGTGGTCGCTTCCAGTGCCAGGGGACGACAGACACCACCAACATCTGCACCTGCAACATTCCCACCGCTCCTGTGCAGCCCTTTGTGGAGGTTGAGAATGGATACGGCTCCAACACATGTGCTTATGGTGAGTTCTGCGGCAATTGGGCAGATGAGTAGAAGGGCAAGTAGGCTGGTGTCTCGCTGAAGTTTGTCTGGCTGTTTTGGCATGCATAAGTTCTCAAATGTATGCGATGGTTGCCATAGAGAACGAGGGCAACGAGGTGAGAAACAAGACTCCTCTCAAAATTCTGTGCTCTGCAAAGTTGGTACTCTGGCCCACTTCCGATGTGTGTAAGAAGTCTCCAAGCTGCAGGGGCCAGAGCGATTTGGTTGCCGTCTGGCTGGATGGCAGTGCACAGCCCATATACCCCTTCTTCTTTCCCCTAGTTTCCCACTCATTTCTATCTGAAGTACCATATCTGTCTCAATGCTCTGTACCATTAGCCACCCTCCCACCCCAGAACACGTGTGGCAGTGGACGTTTGTGGGTCAGTCTGTAAGATTTTTGAGTCCACTCATAAACTGACTCTCTTCTTCCAATATCCACCTTCCTCAATCTCTGCACACATGTGGCACAGGATGTGTGTGGGTCATATTTCAAGAACATTTTGTCGACTCAAAAGATAATTTACATCTTCCAATATCCGCCTTCCCCAATCTCTGTAATATCCGCCTCCCCGGAACACGTGTGACAGTGAACGTGTGTGGGTCTTCCAAAATCCACCATCTACAATCTCTGTACTATCCTCCACCCACCCACCCCGGTGCACGTGTGGCAGTGGACGTGTGTGGGTCATACTTCAAGAACCCCTGCTACGTGGGAGCATGCATCAACGATGGCAAGGGCTCCTACTCCTGCGTCTGCCCTCCCAACCACGTTCAGAGCACAACAATTGACGGCTTCCCCACCTGCGATCCAAGTAGGGGGATTAAATATGTCTGTAGGTCTATTTTGATTTTCTTTTTTCTTCTGTTTCTGCAAATCTTAAGTTGCTCTCTGACTCTTTTTCAATGCCTCTCTCTTACTCCCATTTCTTGTCTGCAGCCAATACCACGGCCATCACAATGACAGTCAGTGGCGACAACTGGTGGTGCTCTGATGTTCATCCCCTTGTTGGCCTCTCACTGATTGACTTCACTGACCAAAACATAGTAAGTGATGAGGTGAAGAGGTGATGCTGTTATATGCCAACCATCATCCGTCATTTGGATTGCACTTTCCATATTCACTTTGTTTTCTCAAAACGCCACCGGTTACATCTCACTTCCTTGTTCCGGCTTTTCATTGACAAGAAGACTCCTAGAATGTTCTATTGCGTATCAAGGAGTGACGACCCTACTCCCACCAAAGTCCCAGAAAGGAGTGAAGGTCCTGCCATGTGACCTTGCCCATGTGACCTTGCCCATACAAAACTCTTTTCCATGCACGTGTCTCCTACTTCAGGGCATTGACTGCAGCCAGCCGTTGCCCAAGGGCAGTGTTCTTCAGCTGGATGGTACTCCTGCCACACCCTGCACTGCCTTCTTCTACTCCCTCAACGTGAGACCTGCTGCTTTCACCCAACCAACTCGCCTTCTCAGCTCAACATATTGCATGATTGTCAATGCAAGTGAGCAAGATCCAATCATCTGTGCATCCCTATTCCTGCCTCTCTCCAACCCTCCAGGGGGACACCTGTGCCTACATCAGCAGACCGCTCAAGTTCACAGAACCTGATCTCACCGCACTCAACCCCGGCCTTGACTGCTCCAAGCCCATCAAAGCCGGCAGCTCCGTGTGCATTGAGCGCAGTGCTGCCTTCGCATTCACCGTACCCGAGTGTGTGAGATACGGCACGCTCACACCTCAAGACACGTGCGAGCGGCTGCTTCAGAGGACAGGCACTTCACCAGGAGGTGTCAGTGCCATTGAGAATCAATGGGCTGCACTGTACCGCAACAATCCTGGCCTCACTTGCTCTGCCACTATCCCTTCCTCTGCCTCCGCTGTCGGCAGCAACATTGGTGTACAGGTGAGGACTGTGAGGGCTGGGGGGAAACCCTCTGGGATGGGGGAGCACGGAATGGTGGGCAAAGGTAAGAGAGCTTTGCACTGTTCCCGAAAGACCTCGTGCAACTATGATGCATCCCTTGTTAGTCTGCTTCGGTTTCTCCGCCAACTCTTGAGGCTCCGTCCCATGCTTCTATGATCCCAGATTTGCCTGACAGCAGAGTATTGGTCGTTCACGATGGGGATATGCAAGAAGGGTAGGATCAAGCCTGTGCAGCCATCAATGCCATGCTCAGGTGCTTACCGCTTCTATGGTGGAACTACCTCAACCGCAATTGCACAGTTTTGCAACTACAATGGTAGGTCTTGCTCTGGTACTGTAGGAGCAAGGTCTATTTGCGTACCATCGACATTCTGAGTTGACCTTTGACTAGATTATGCTACTCATATCAGGCCCTAGGGGCTTCTTTGAGGTGCCTTCAAAGCTGTGCCAGGAGCCATTATGCAGGACAATCTCGCATAAGGTCATGAACATGTACATAAATGGTTGTGCAGTATAATAGCGCAAATGTGGAGTGTTAACTTTCCCGATAGCACATTGCTCGCTTTGATTCCATGTACCATATTGTATACAGAAGCCCAAATGAAGTTAAGTACGTCTCATCACTGATCCCTATTTTTCATCACCAATATCTCTAATTATCAGGGCAGTAAATAGCTTATCAGTTCAGGCATGACTCAAGAGTCATAAGGTTTTGGTGCTGGTGCAGGTTTTAGCAAAGACTCAGGGCCTGTTTGACCTGTCACGAAGACCACCTCCATGAATACAGCACCGACTGGAATCTTCGCTGCAAGTGTAGTGTGCAATTGACACACTGAAAACATCCGATTCGTTAAGCAGGTGATCAAGCCACCTCAATTCTCTGAAACAGAAATATATTATCTACCATACACATCAACCACCAGACACATGCTTTGTTGTCTTATTCTTATGTGTCCCCCCCACCACACACACACACACAGACACCACAAGACAAGCGATCCTGCTTAAGTCTATAGAGTGACAAATGAAGCCACCACTGTGCGAAGCTTCTTATTCACCTTCCTCTAGCGACGCTCATTTTCCCCAGTTGTCAGCGTGTAGAACTTGCCTGCACCACGACCACAAACACACACACACACACACACTCACACACACACACATACACACACACACACACACACAGATTCAGCCAGAGAAAGGATACAGTACCACACACAAGAAAAGTGCAGGACAATGCTACAGAGTGGCTATCATCCCACAAGTCATAGTACGTGCGCCCGTCCAGCTCCCTCTGTGCGAGAGCATGGTGTAAAGGAAGGATAGAAAGGATGGAAAGGGAGAGGAAGATGCCAAGCTAGTAAGCGGGGGAGCACAACGGGAAGATAGAAAGGAGGTGCAAGGCAGCAGCTGTCGTGTGTGTGCCTGTCCAACTCCCTTGGTGGAAGGAAAGACGGAAAGAGAGGGTAATTAAAGAGAATGAGACAGGAGCCGAGCAAGTGGGAGTGCGAGAGGCAGCAGCAGGGACAAAGAGAAGGACGAAAGCAGCAGTCAGAGAGCACTTGGTTCGTGTGCCCATCCAGTTGCATGAGCATGTCAAAGACAAGCAGACGGGTGGAATAGATGGGATAAGAAGGTTGAGGAGATGACACCCTAGGGGCGAGCGACGATGCGAACGTTAAGTTGCCCCTAGGGAATGGTGTCAGCAAGCGAAGCAAGAACACACATGACCAGGTGGCCTTTTCTGTCCTGGCTGTACCGCATGGAAACCTTTTGAGATGTCTCAAGACATCTCAAATGAACACACATGACCAGGCGGCCACTTCTGTCCTGGCTGTACCGCATAGAATTCTTTTGAGACATCTCAAAACGACTTTTAAGATGTCTCAACAGAACACACATGACCAGGTGGCCTCTTCTGTCTAGGCTGTATCCCATGGAAACCTGACAGGTGGCGAATGAGGGGGCGTTTGGTGGTGATCACAGGTGGCCGCCTACCCATCTTGCCTACCCATGCCTGCCCACACCAGCCTCTAGCAGCCCACACCAGCCCCCGCGCCGACGAATTGATAGATAAAGTGCGAACAGCACGGGTCTTTTCGAAAATTGACTTACGGGGAGGTTACCATCAGATTAGGATCGAACCATCAGACTGCGCTGAAACGGCATTCAGAACTAGGTACGGGTCATTTGAGTACAAAGTGATGCCAATCGGGCTGACCAACGCACCGGCGACTTTTCAGATGACCATGAACGAAGCATTTAGGCCACTTTTAGATAGATACATGATGGTTTACCCTGATGACATCCTGGTCTACAGTCGCGACAAGTAGCAGCACTTGACGGATTTGGAAGCATTATTTAAAATCTTAGACCAGAATCGCCTACTGACCAAGGGTTCGAAGTGAGAGTTTTTTCAGGACCGGTTAGAATTTCTGGGGCACGTTATTTCAGATGCTAGATTCAAAATTGACCCAAAGAAGTTAGACACGGTAAAAGCGTGGCATCCCTCGACCAACATCTTGGAGCTGCAGAGTTTCTTAGGGTTCGTGAATTACGTCAGTCGGTTCGTACCCAATATGGCGCGCTTAACAGCCCCACTCACGGATTTGCTGTGGAAAAGAGTGGCGTTTACTTGGGGGGAGAAAAAGCATGCTGCCTTCCCCGCCCTGAAAACTGTTATCTGTTCCCCGCCTGTACTCCGCATCGCCGACCCACATCGCCCCTTTGAAGTAGTTACAGCCGCCAGCGACATCGCAATCGGATTTCGGCAACGGCCTACAGCCCATCGCATACGAGTCACGAAAACTGCACCCGCCCAAGAGAAATAACCCGATACACGACCACGAAATGCTCGTGATCGTGCACGCATTCAAGGTGTGGCGTTGTTACTTGACTGGCGCAGACGTGACAGTATGGACAGATCAGAGATCACTACAGTACCTCCACACAAAACCTCACCTCAACCCACATTAGATTCGTTGGCTCGACTTCCTCGAGTCGAATTTCCACTACACGGTCACCTACAAAAAGGGGGCGTTGAGTATCGCCGACGCACTGACCCGCCCCACTGCTCAAATACACGCCATACTACTCGCCTAGACCAGCCCACTACTCACAGAACTAATCACGCACGGCTACCAGACCGACCCGTTCTTCACTTAAGGAAACTCGCTGCAGTTCGCTGCAGCACACGGGGTGTATTATGTTAAAGCCGGCACCGATCGGATGTGGGTATTGGGCTACACCTTACTATAGAGATTACTACTTCAGGAGGCACATGACGGAGTCACCTCAGGACGTTTCGGGGTAGAGAAAATATGGCAGCAGCTGCAGCGATATTATTACTAGCCGGAGATGCTGACTGACGTGCAGCAACACGTGGCATTGTGTCCCACCTGCCAACTCATGAAGTCGTCACGACAGCGACTAGCGGGACAGTTGCAGCCCATGGACTTCATCACGGGGTTACCGGCCGGAGCAAGTGGAAACGACGCAATCCTGATCGTCGTCGGTCGGCTGACGAAGATGTCACATTTCGCAGCCTGCAAAATTTCAATCACCGCCGAAGAAACATCCTGACTCTTCATCTCCACCGTCGTTCGGATGCACAGGATACCAGCGGCAATCATTAGTGATCATGACACAAAATTCACCAGCAACTTCTAGAGGAACCCGTAGCATCAGTTCGACACGCAACTACAGTTCAGCTCATCGTACCGCCCCGAAACCGACGGACAAACAGAACGGACGAATCAAACCATGAAGCCACGACCAACAACCCGGCAACATGGGAACAGCAGCTGCCACTCATCGAATCCGCATACAACAACTCCACGCCAGCCACGACGCACTAATCACAATTGAAACATCAATCCTGCTCACGATCGGTGTTTTGTGAGTACAGTACTTTGCTAATTTGCTAAGTGGTGGTTACTTAACTTCGTTTTCTGTCGCCAATGTATAGTTGTCCCCTCGGAGTCACGCGATCGATGTGCCCTTGCCACACATCAATCGTGCAACTTCGTCCAGATCGCGCAATTTTTCCCCATGATTCTTCAAACGTGCCCCTTGAGAATTTCGGTGGGCCTACGATTGCAACAATGTAGTCATGGCACACCGATGTGGTGATCAATGTGGCAAGATCAGTGAACACCCCCGATCCTTCCTTGGTATTTCAATTGTGACGTGTCCTAAGCGTAACGCCAACCGCCACCGCCGCCCCGTCACTTACCAACCCGACCACCTCGTACTTCTTGATACCCAGAACCTCCGTGTGCTCGTCACCCCAAAACTCCGCCCCCAGTATTGCGGGCCATTTTGCATCAGCCGCATGATCACCCTCGTCAAAATCCATCTCCTACTCTTGCTGACTGGTATGTCAGCCCGTCATTCCACGTCAGACTGCTTCGCCCATATGTCCCATCCACCAGCCAACTACCCCGCAACCGCCCAGCCTGAAACGACCGCCCACAGAACCAATCATCATGCCCGAATACTACTGAGCCACCCAGTTCGTGGCCCATGAGGGGCCCGCAAGATCGAATTTCTGATCCGCGGGAAAGACCGCACGCCCTCCGAAGACAACTGGGTCCTCCTGGACAGAATCGAAAACCACCCGGTCCTCATCGAGTATCTACGCAGCCCAAATTTCCGGGATGACACGCACTTTTGCAAGGAGGGCCTCCTTAGGGGGGGAGGGGACGGGGTAGTGTAAGGACAATTCTCTTTCCTTACTTCGCGTCCCTGCTCAGCGCGTACACCGCTGATCCCGCCAACAACTCCCAACAGTGCACCATTACCACTCGCAACACTCGGCTCGACTACCGTTTGCACCATTGTTCACGACGCGACCCAACCTCACGGTTTGGTTGGTAACCCGCGCTCAGGACCTTCGCCTCGACAATTCCCAACCTCGGCGCTAGGCCCGTAGCGCACCCCATGTTCGCACATTACCGTTAGCACTTTAGCTTTGCTCTATATTCTTCGCTCATGCCTTTGCTCAATACACTATTTTGCTTTGATAGTGCAATTCTTGCTCGCTCACTAAATTGCACTCTAACAGTCTGCTATATTGTATAGTTATTTGTGATGTAGGCACTGTGCGTTGTGCATTGCGAGAGAACGAAATAGTTGTTTTGCCTGCCCAGCCACAACAAATATCATCTGACACACAATGCAGCCTCCAGCAGCTCCTTCAGCATCGCGATTTTGCTGCTGG